GAATCTAACATGGATCATCAAGGATTGAAGGATTAGTCTTAAGTGTGTGTAAATCGCACCTTGAGTGTGAGAGTTCTAGAGGTGAGAAAATATGAATGATTTAGAGAGCTAGGCATGGTTTTGACCTGTTTGGGTCAACAGTCCACCTAGTTTTCCATAGTTGACAGATTTAGTCCATCATGCGTAACTTGGTCGTTTCAACTCCGTTTCGCACGAAACTTTCCAGATCTTCTAAATGATATATAAGAAGCTTGAATATAAAATTCCAGCCTCTAACTCAATCCAGAAGTCCAAATTCCAATCTAACTTTAGTAAGTACTAATCCCTAAAATACTATACTAACTTAATTAATCATACTTAGCAACCTAAATGGACTTTTAGAAAGTTGGATGTTACAAATACCTCCCCCTTTTTAAGATTTCGTCCTCGAAATCATGATTGCAATAATAATGAAGGGTACTTAGTCATCATCTCATATTTGCGTTCCCATGTCCAATTTGACCCGTGATGATGTTTCCACTTCACTAATACCAAATCCACCTCTCTGTTGTGCAATTTCACTGTCCGCTCTTTCAAGATACTTTTGGGCTCTTCGGCATATCGAAACTTTTCATTTATCTTAACTTCCGACAATGGTACTACTTCCTCATGTTTGCCCAAACATTTTCGTAGATAGCCGACATGGAAAACATCATGTATACCCGTTAATTCTTCGGGTAGTTCTAAACGGTAAGCTTGTTTCCCGACCCGTTCAATAATCTTGAATGGACCGATAAAACGAGGACTGAGTTTACCTTTCTTTCTAAACCGTAATACTCCACGCCACGGGGAAACCTTCAACATGACCAAATCTTCGACTGAGAACTCGATCGGTCTTCTGCGGTGATCAGCGTATGACTTTTGTCGGTCCTGAGCCGCTTTCATTCTATCTCGAATCACCTGTATTTTGTCGTGTGTGATTTGTACAAGTTCGGGTCCAACAAGTATCTTTTCTCTGGTTTCTCTCCAACACAGAGGCGTACGACACTTACGGCCGTACAGGGCCTCAAACGATGCCATTCCAATTGTCAAATGGTAGCTGTTGTTGTAAGAAAATTCAATTAATGGCAGATGAGTATCCAGCTACCACCGAACTCTAAAATATAGGCACGAAGCATATCCTCTAAAGTCTGAATTGTGCGCTTAGATTGCCCGTCAGTTTGAGGGTGATACGCGGTGCTGAAGGCCAACTGCGTCCCAAGTTCTCGTTGTAACCCCGACCAGAATTTAGACATGAAACGTGAATCACGATCAGAGATGAATTTAGTCGGTATACAATGTCGAGCGATAATTTCATCAACATAAAGTCGTGCCCACTTATCCAACGGATACGATTCTAGAACGGGAAGAAAATGCGTAGATTTCGTCAACCGGTCCACAATGACCCAAATACTATCATGCTGTCGCTGAGTTTTTGGCAATTTCGTAACTAGGTCCATTGTTAACTCTTCCCATTTCCACACTGGAACCTCTAAAGGCTGTAAACTCCCGTATGGCTTTTGATGCTCAGCCTTCACTTTCATACAGGTAATACACTGCTCAACATAATATGCAATATCGGCTTTCATCCCCGGCCACCAATAATCAGTACGAAGATCGTAGTACATCTTAGTGCTTCCTGGATGGATAGACATTCTCGATTTATGCGCCTCAGCCAATACAATATCTCGTGCACCACCAAATCTAGGGACCCAAATTCGGGTCTTAAAGACTTTCAAACCACGAGAGTCTTCAGATAAAGAGTTGACATGACCCACCATCCGTTCCGACTTGACATGCTCAGGCTTCAAAGCCTCTTGCTGCCATTTTCGTATATCGTCGAACAGATTGGTTTTCATAGACATATGAGTGATAGCATAACATACAGGATTCGCGTATGCTTTTCGACTCAAAGCATCCGCCACTACGTTGGCTTTACCCGGATGATAGAGTATCTCATAGTCGTAATCCTTAATGAGCTCCATAGCACGCTGCTAACGCATATTCAAAGTCTGTTGATCAAACAAGTATTTTAGACTTTTATGATCGGTGTAGAGTTGGCATTTTGTGCCATAAAGATAGTGGCGCCACAATTTAAGTGCAAAGACCACCGCTGCCAACTCAAGATCATGAGTGGGGTAATTCTTTTCGTATTTTTTCAATTGACGTGACGCATAAGCGATGACCCTTCCTTTCTGCATCAATACMCAACCAAGTCCTAATCGTGAGGCATCACTATAGACTACAAAATCCTCACTACCTTCAGGTAAAGAAAGAATTGGTGCTTGTGTCAAACAATCTTTCAAAGTCTGAAATGCCTTTTCTTGATCTTTGGTCCACACAAAATTTGCATCTTTGTGGGTAAGGAAAGTGAGAGGAACAAAAATCTTAGAGAAATCCCGAATGAAACGTCGGTAATATCCCGCTAGGCCGAGAAAACTCCGAATCTCTGAAGCATTCTTGGGTTGCTCCCATTTTTGCACTGCTTCAATCTTGGCAGGATCCACAGATATACCGTCACCGGACACGGTATGTCCCAAGAATTGTACCTGACATAGCCAAAATTCACATTTTGAAAATTTAGCATAAAGTCGTTCTTTTCTCAACAACTCCAGCATCTGTCGAAGGTGTGTTGCGTGATCGGTCTCAGACTTCGAGTACACAAGAATGTCATCAATGAATACAATTACAGACTTATCGAGCATCGAACGACATACTCCATTCATTAAGTCCATAAACGCAGCTGGGGCATTTGTGAGACCGAAAGGCATCACCAGAAATTCATAATGCCCATATCTCGTACGAAAAGTAGTCTTAGGTACATCCTCCTCCCGTACCTTTAGCTGGTGATAACCTGATATGAGATCAATCTTGGAGAAGAACCTTGCACCTTGAAGCTGATCAAACAAATCATCAATACGGGGTAACGGATACTTATTCTTAATTGTTACCTTATTCAACTCACGATAATTGATGCACATCCGGAAAGA